GCTATCATTTTACTCAAGAATGGTTTTACAGGAATTCCTCTAGCTCTTGACAACCTTGTACTAATGTATGAGTGCATAAATAAAGGGTCAACTAATACAAATACAGGATCATCAAAAGATGAAAAGTACCTATTAAAATTTTCGGGTCATCCCGATCCTCATTGGTCGTAATATTATAGATTCTAGTGACTCCCCGAGTCTCTTGTCGCTGCAATGATTCATCTCGTCCCCTTGATCTTTCACTTTCTCTGTTTCTTTTAGAGATTTCCACAGATCTTTCAGATTGCACTAAATTGTCCCCAAATTTCTTTGGACAATTTCTGGCAAAGTGGTCAGTCTCGCCACATTGGAAGCAAGCTCTACTAAGAAGTCTGCATACTCCCTGATGCATTATTCCACATGTCTGACAGACAATTCTTTCTCTAACTGCTATACCCGAGCTAGCAGCAACCAAATGGGACTATTTTTTTTCTGTGAAATTGCAGCAGAACCCTCTTGGTTTGTATCTCTCAAACTTGAGCCCCTACCTCTCTTAAAATAATGGGGAGTTGAAGGCATTCCAACCCTTTTCCCCATCTACACACTATGTTCTGCTACTAATGTCTTCTCTTGAGCTCTCTCGATAGCTTTGGCTCGGTTAATAACTTCTTGCAAGTTAGGCAAACTCAAAGCCAACATCAATTCTTTTAATTTTGGCCTCAACCCCTCAATAAACTAATCGCGTCGGGCCTTATCATTTGGATCCACTTTCGTAGCAAAACGACTCAACTTATTATACTCAGCCTCGTATTCATGTACTACTCGATCACCTCATTTCAAATTAAGGAACTTTAACAGATTTACCCGTTTGAACTGTTCACCCAAATACTTGTTCTTAAATTCTTCCCGGAAGTATTGTCAGGTCACTTGCTCCGGTGGTGCATACATCGTAGCATTTGACCACCATACTCAAGTTGATCCTTTAAGTAAAGATATAACTCCACCCAACTTTTCCGGATCCGAACAGTGAAGATTTTCGAGCATTATTATAACATCATTTAACCATAAGTCTGCCTCCATAGGACCTTTACCCTCTTCTCCCCGGAACTCTGGAGCTCCCAATCCCTTTAGCTCTTTTGGGATCAACATTATCGGTACTGGAGGAGTATGAGGAGTAGGAGGAGGCAGAGGAGGTTAAAAACGGGCCAACATAGCGTTGAGAGCTTGCATAAAAGTTTCATACTCTGGTACTGACATCCCTTGATGTACCGGCGCCCTAGCATTTTCAGATAGAACTGATTGCTCACTATTAGCTTCGTAACTTTTTCTATCATTCCCTTCTCTCATCTCTTGTTCCCCCACTCTACTCGAGTTCGAGGATTCTGATATCTAGTAGAACATACATAGTAACAACATTACAGTTAGTAAGCAGTATCATCAATTACACTCTAATGACACCATATCAGTAACCTTGACAATCTTAATGGCATGTAATTTCTTTTTCTCATTTCGATTGAACTCAATTTCGACTAAGAATCGGCTAAACCTGTAGCTCTAATACCAATAAATGTAACACCCATCTCCCGTATACCTTTTCGTATACGAGATACGGATGTTACATCACTTTTAAAATATTTAGTCATTTGAAAACCCGTAAAATTTTGTTTCAATTTCTAAACAACCTCAAAGTATGATATTCATAGAAGCAAAATATTAAAACTATTAATTTAAATACATTACAACATATTCAATTTAGCTCCATTACATGTCAACTATGTTTTCAAAAGGAATAATATTATCCTAATGTTACTGACAAGTCAACCTTAATTGATAATCGCTGCTACTAATGCTGCACTACCTACGCAACTAATCTTTTTCTTTACCTATGCATGAAATCAACATACGTTATGTATTTACTTAGTGAGACAAAATATTGCAAAGATATCAAACTTATACATAACTATCTTATGAATATTGAATGACGATTTAAATTGCAAATTTCATCAGGACCAGATAAGCCATTTTAAGTTACATCATAATTCTTTCAATAAGTTATCTAAATTATTCTTAGTAACCTAACCTATCTATCTTCCTATATATTTTTCCATAATTATTCTTTATTTGCACGATGTACGTTAAGTTAGAACATATTATACATGTATTGCACCAAAGTGTCAATTGATCATGTATCTTTTATAATCATTATGGGCAACACCTTAACTACTGTTAATACACTATTTTGTATTTTCATTTGGGCATCCTTTCATACCCTTTTTATGTATTGTTTAGGTTTTTCCTTTTGAACATCCATTCATACCAATTATGCATTGTTGTACATTTTATATCTATATGACATCCTTTCATACCACTTATGCACATTTTATATCCAAATGCATTATAATTCTATTTATCTTTTACTCAACAGTCTTTAACCGTTCATCTAATTGGCATAATTGACACATTTCTGCCAAATGCACAGCTAGGCCATTTATCTTTTACTAAACAATCTTTAACCATTCATCTAACTGGCAAAATTAACACATTTATGCCAAATGCACAACTAGGCCATTTATCTTTTACTCAACGATCTTTAACCGTTCATCTAAATGGCATAATTGACACCTTTCTACCAAATACACAACTAGGCCATTTATCTTTAACTCAAAGGTCTTTAACCATTCATCTAAATTGAAACTTTTTTGCCAAATTCACAACTAGGCCATTTATCTTTTACTCAACGGTTTTTAACTTTCATTTAACTGGCATAATTGACACCTTTCTGTTAAATGCACAGCTAGGCCTCAAAGGCACTTAGGCTTGCATCTAACTGACATAATTGACACATTTCTGTCAAATGCACAGCTAGGCCTCAAAGACACTTAGTCTTTCATCTAACTGGCATAATTGACACATTGTTTTTCAAATGCACAGCTAGACCTCAAAAGAACTTAGTCTTTCATCTAACTGACATAATTGACACATTTATGTCAAGTGCACAGCTAAACTATTTATCTTTTACTTTAGAACAGTTTATACAATGATAATTATTTATAATATCAATTAACTCCTTCAAATCATTATACACTCTATAGTTTATAACTATAATACCTATGCAGTAATCTCACAATCTTACTATAATTTACTTTGATTGCTCATCCACTACCAATACAACAATTCACCTTTTTATTATGAACTTTTGATAATTGAACATATATTTCTCATACGGAAATTCACACACTTATTATAGATTTATTAGTTCGTACACATATTGTCCATATGGAAATTAATACACGTAGTATGAATTTCTTAGTTTTGCACCACAAGTGCCCATACAGAAATTCATACACTTAGTATGAATTTTTCAACTTTTTGCACGCTCAGTGCCATTTGGTAATCACCATACATATATAAATCAATCATATTTCTATGACTACAATAACATATACATACATAATAACTGCACTCACCTGGATTGTCTCGCTATTATACCCAAAAATGCATAGTTGATCACTTTGGTACTTTGCCTTTGTCTTTAGTTTTGTTTGACTCGAGAGCTTGATTTTGATTTACTCAAGCATCCCATAACACACATACAATATCAATTGTTAGTATATTTCCTAACAATTATACTCAAGCGTTACTCAAGAGTACTTATTATTAATTTTCTATACAATATCAACTTATTTTTAACATTTTTGGCTCACTAGTATCGATACCCCACCATGATATCGATACTACTATACTATGGTATCAATATTTTATTATAGTACTGATATCATTTTTGCATTCTGTGATCAAATGGTATCGATACCATCCTCATGGTATCGATACTCCCCTCTTGGTATCGATACCGCTTGAATCGGTATAGATACTACTCTACAAATTCTACTGATTTTAAGCCTATAGTATTGGTATTGTTCTATCAGTACCAATACCCATGCCCAAAATTTCTAGTTTTCAACCCGAATATCACCCAAATGGGGTCAAATTTTGGTATGCTTATACCATGCAATACCATTAAGCTCTTATTTACCTGTTCATACTTTCTACATTTAGTTTCTTAAAACATCTAAAATCTTCCAAGAACAATCAATTCTAAGAATCACACCACTTTTTCTAGTATGTTATTAATCTTATCCAATGCTTCTAATCTTTCATTTACCTCTTTGACAAATCAATTTCACCAATAACAATAAATAAACACTTATATAACAACATATCATTTTAAAACCCATTTCCTTAAATCTCCAATATTTCTTCTATTTCATAGTTTTAATCTCATATAACCTTTCCTTAAGCTTACCTATTACTTAAGGTTACAAGAACCAACCAAAATAAACCGAAAACATGAGCTAAATGAAGCTTACCTTAAGCTATGGAGGAACACTCTCACCCACGAGAAAAAGAAGAGAAAATAAGTTTTTCACTTTCCTCTCTCTCTTAAATCCCTAATTTAAATGGGTTTTAAATTCACTTCACCTAAAAGACCAAAATACCCTTACAATAAACTATCTCTTACAAATTGGTCTTACTTAAATCATTTCTTATACTTTACCAATTACTCAATTTAGTCATCCAAATTTTTAATCCTTTTCAAATTAATCACTGGCTTATTATTTGGGGTATTACACAGTAAGCATATAGAATTAAAACACCAAAAGTTCCCCTCAATTTATGGCAGTAAGCAGCAGAAAAATAGACAAGGTAACATGATACTAGTACATAAGCATTTCAATGAAAGAATATCAAAAATCAAATAATTTGATTATCTTGGTGTTATTGTCATCCCTCTCTGTGATCTGCTGCAATAGATGCTGATTTTGTGTTTGCATGTCATCATATGCCTGTCCAATTGACTGTGGAGAAAACAAAAATACCAGGCTCAATAAAACATCTACAAAAGGCAGAGCCAAGATTAAAAAAGAAGAAACAAACCTCTAATTCGGATAACTAACCCTCATTTTCTTCATTTTTAGATTTCAAAAAAACATCAGAATGCCTAGCCTTATCCCTGAAATAGCAATATAATTGACATTTTTCACACCCTTCTCATAAGCCCGTTGTTTGATAGATAAAATCTAGATGATAATATAAATAAAGCAACCAACTGCATCAATACTAGACATACTACTTCCAGTACATTTATATCTGGCTAATGAGAATTTCTTCAAATGATAATCGCTTCAGCTTTATTGGCTGTCTTAACACGTAACTCCAAATTTTACTCATCAATACAAGATTTCAAACTATGAAGACGAGCCTGTGCTTTATATTCTGAATCTCTAGCTTTCCAAACATCTCTTCAGTCACCGATAAAATAATTATAACCATCTGGAACTGCACTCAAGAATAGAACCATATCAAGGGCTGCAAGAGCAGTGCTGTTGGTTTGATTTGAACACCCAGAATGACATTAAATAATTGTTTGAAATAAATTTTCAAACTCCCAATGTCAATAATCAAAGCCTAACCACCAAACATACTAAAACCTATATATAAGCGTAATAAGCCCTGGTTATAAGCCCATGGGAAAATAAAGCCCATCTAAGCCAAACAAGGACTAACAAAATAAACCAAACAAATAAGCCTACTAATACATCAAATGCTACTTCCTAGTTTACATCTAGAATAGACATGCTTCTAACTAGGAAGAATGTTCATCATCCACAATGTAACCAGACAAGGCATATAATTAATCAATATAACATAAAATATCCAACATCCTCCATACTTAGCAGACAACAATTTCCGATAAACATAAAACTAAAACACACAAGAAAAATATGTTTATTCTAACTACAAGCATCACGTAATGGGATAAACTTGTGAAAGAAATTTGTCAAAACATTGCTCTGGTATTCAGGAAATTCTAGGAAAGAAAATCAACTTCAATTCAAATTACGCACAAAATCCCTGCAGAAGATATTAAAAGAAAGCATCATTTACAAATAATCTAACCTTAAATCAGTAAATTCATGCCTATAAATATCCCATATCAACTTCAACTTCAACTCCACATCACTGTCCTTTAAATCTTGTACCTACATTTAAAAAATATATATATAAAAAGATCTTAGAAGAAAGATGGGCATAGAGGCTGACAAGATTAGATTTTACAGGTGATAGGAGGCATATTTTCCCCTTAATTTAAATAAGCATCAATTCCCCATCACAGCTTTCTCAAACGTAGATTTAAAAAAATCATAAAGTAAACTAACCAACCATACCATAGCTTGCAACTTGTTTATTTCAGCAACTTGCTCAGTGGATCTGACAGATAAGTTCTCACACTCTTTCACCTGTTCACAAATAATTATTTAAAAAATTCTTTACAGGTCCAGATAAAGGAATAAAAAAGGACCTTTGAGTCCTTAAAGCAAAACCAGGAATAACCTAACAACTTATAGAAGTACTAACCTTCCTATAGAGAGTAGTGGAAAGAGATTGTACGTCAGCGAAGAGAGAATGAATATCCACAACAACCTCTTTGTATTTACCTAACTGACTTAAGAGTTAGCATGAACTGTTCATAAATATTGAGATATATAGTTCAGTTTCCTAAATTAGAAAAAATGATTATCAACACAGGAAGCATTTAGCCTAATGCCCTCAACAACATGGTTTCATATTGAAGCCACTAAACAGCAACCAAGTATGTAGCAATAAGCTGTTTTATTTCAAGCATGCTACAAGTTCCTCGATGTTCGATGCATTTCAATCCTACCAAGTACTAACTACCAACAAATAGTTAATCTTAAATATAACCAAATGGAACTTTGAGTCCTTTAGCACCACAACTATGTTCAACTAATCTGAATAACATATACTAGAAGTAGAAATAGAGAGAATTTTATGACCAAATGTAAAATGTAGTAACTTCATTTAACATATGAAACCTTATTCAAACATTTTCAAAACAAAATCTTGCTAAAATAGAAATGCATTGCCTCATGCACACACAACTTTCAAAACACGGTAAAATCAGATGACAAATTCACTAGTTAACAAAACGATCTAAGCAAACATCAAAAGATCTCATTTTCTCCATAATTCATACCAAATAAAAACCTAAATGAATGTAAAGCTTCAGCTACATATTGGAGAAAAGCAAGCAAAATATTATTTAAAACAAATCGGGAATCCCATATCCATTTTCTATCGAGAGAAGCCAAATTCATCATTTTAGAGCAATACGAAACTAAAATAATCTATAACCCACATCCCAAAACATACAAAGAAACATGCGGCCAAAATAAAACAAAGAGAATGCAAAAAGAGAGGAAACCTTCAATACCGGAGTGGAAAATCCTGAAACCAAGACAATAAGAGTAATTATTGATCAGAGTTAGATCATATACATTCAAAATCACATTGGTTACGTCGCTAGAGCACCTATTTTGATTCCCAGAGCAAGAACTTGAAGATTATCCCCCTGCCCCCTCTTTTTTTCTTCTCGTTGTCACAAACGCACACATAAAAAAAAGAGTTTGTCATATAAGAATTAAAAAAATCCCAGAATCAAAAAGTAACTCTTTGAAAAGTAAATAAAAAACGAAAATCCAAGGTGAGGGGAATTGGAGCTGGAAACAGAAAATGTAATTTCGGGTAGAAAAGCTAAAAACGTAAAATTATGAAAGCGGAGAAGATGTGACTGACCGATGCAGGAAAAACCGACGCATCGCTTTTTCTTGGAGACGGGGCGTTGATCGGCTTTGGGATGTTGTTGCTTCTTTTCCATTTGACGGTGGGTTAGGGTTTCGCAGAACGGGAAATGAGGAACTGTTAGACGTGAAATTATGTTTTATAAATGGAGACAATTTAGGGAAATTATGTTTGTGTAAAAAGGCTAGGAGTCTAGGGCATTTTTATAAAAATATCGAGTCTTTAGCGGCGTTTGTATAAAGCTACTAAAATATGAGTTTTTAGCATATGTATAAAAATACGTAAGAATCTTTAGCGGTGTTTGTATAAAAGCCGCTACTAAAGTACTAGTATTTAGCATCATTTTTTTCTTAAAACGTCACGAAATTTGTTATTTTGTGGCATTTGTTTTAAAAACGCCTGCATAACAATAAATTTACAGGTGTTTTTTCAAAAAAATGCCGCTAAAAATATTGTTATAAACCCATTTTGCTGTAATGAGACCATCAGCTCCTGGTTCATCCAACCAACCAGTCCAATCCTAATACGACAACACTGATTATAATCTTTTAAGGAGCTTTTGGAATATTATTGATACTTCAGGCAATTTATCCTAAAATTTTATCTCTCAAGTTCACTTTCTTTCTTCCTCTATTGTTCTCCTTGACCCCCTGGCTCTTTGTTTTTCCTTATTTTAGTATATCACTCTATTTATCTTTTCTCACTTCTCCCATCCATGGCACACCATAATTCTATATCAAGATCATTTGAATCACTAGTCTAGAGTAGAGCAACAAGTGAAACCTAATCACACATAGCACTAAATACATAATCAAGGAACTTGCTATGTAGAAAAGTGTGAAATTAGACAGTCACAACTCAAAATGAGATAATATGAACATGAGAAAGTTACAATTCAGAAATGCAGTAACTTACCCTTTGGCGCATCACAATCTTCTGCTTCCATGAATAAGTATATCCAGAGGCTGAAATCCCAACAACATTTATAACCAATCCAGGAGTAACTATCGCATATGTTTCAGAAGTGGATGGAACCTTAGAACCACTGGAAGTGGAACATCCTCATTCCCATATGGAAAAATACACTTATATATGAACAAACTTAGAAAGAAAAGTTGTTCTCTACTTTATTTTCTGTTGATAGTTTACCGCTTTAAAGAACAAATTTAGTAAAAAATAAGAAATGATCCCTAAAAAGCAGTAACTTCCTAAGAATCAATAACTTAAGATTAGTGTCTATTTAAAAAGTAAACTCCTAGAAATAAGGTAAAGATTTTGTTATTAATTTTAGGAATTCCAACACTCCCCTAAAGTTGGAATGCAGATGTTTATCAAACCCAGCTTGCCAAAAAAATCCTCAAACATGCTTTTATTCAAGCTCTTAGTTAACAAGTCCGCAACTTGTTATTTAGTAGGTAAGTAGGTTATGCACACTTCTTCTCAGTTGACTATTTCTTTGATAAAATGGCGATCTATTTCCATATCTTTGGTGCGATTGTGGTGAACTGGATTATGTGCTATACTGACAACAGGCTGGTTATCATAGTACATCTTAATAGGTCTGATATACAACATTTTAATTCCCCCATTAGTTGTTGTATCCAAATTCATTCACATATACCATGAGATAACGCTCTATACTCAACCTCTGCACTGCTACGAGCTACAAAATATTTCTTTTTACTTCTCCATATCATGAGGTTACCCCACACATAGCTACAGTAGCCACTTATAGAGTGTCTATCATTTACTGAAGCTTCCCAATCTGCATAAGTGTAGATATTCACATATCAGTTGGTTGTTTTCTTAAAGTGTAGACCTTTAACAGGAGTCCCTTTCAAGTACCTTAACATTATACATGCAACTTCTAAGTGTTTCTCCCTTGAAGCGTGCATGTATTGGCTGATGACACACATTGAAAACTATATCAGGATGAGTAAGAGATAGGTAGATGAGTTTTCGTACTAGTCATTGATATCTTCCACTATCTACTTCTTCTCCATCCTCATCAGTCCCTAACTTCAATTTAAACTCCATAAGAGTCTCAGCTAGCTTGCAACCCATCATGACATTTTCCAATAGTAAATCAAGAACATATTTCCTTTGGGAAATAGAAATACTTGTTTGAGACCTTGCTACTTCCATTCTAATAAAGTATTTGAGATTTCCCAAGTCCTTAAGCTCGAATTATGTGCTAAGGAATTCTTTTAGACTTTTAATTTCACTTGAATCATCTCATGTTAGTATTATATCATCAACATAAATGATAAAAATAGAGCATTTTCCCTCTCCTAAGTGTTTGTAAAAAATAGTGTGGTCTGCCTGCCCTTGAATATAACTCCTGTTGGTCATGGATCTAGCAAATCGACTGAACCGTGCCCTTGGGGATTGTTTCAACCCATATAAGGACTTTTTCAATTTACACACTCATTTAATTCACCATTGAAGAATGTGTTTTTTTACATCCAATTGAGTTAAGGGCCAATCAACGTTGATAGTAAAAGATAGGAGGATCTGAATGCTATTCAATTTGGTAACTGGAGTAAATGTCTCATCGTAGTCAGTAACATAGGTTTGGGTGAAACCCTGTACCACAAGTCGAGCCTTATGTCGATTGATGTTGCCGTCAAGTTTAAATTGGTGGTGAAGATCAATTTGCATCCTACTATTTTCCCTTTGGGTAGTTTCGAGACTTCCCACGTTCCATTTATTTTGAGAGCATTCATCTCTTCCATCACAGCTTGTCTCCACTCAGTAGATTCAAGTGTTTCTTTTACATTCCTTGGAGTCTCTACACGATCAACAATAGTCACAAAGTCTTGTAAGACTTAGACAGATTCCCATAAGATACGAATTGAGAAATAGGATGTTGTGTGTAGCTCCTGGTACCTTTTCGAACTACAATTCAGAGATCAATGGATGATGAATTAGAGAAGACCTCTAGTACAAAATAATCCTCGATTGGGGATGAAATTGGCAGTGTTGTGCCTATTTTGGGAGAATAATGACGCCAAGAGTATACAAGAAGTTCAGGAACTTGTTTTTATTTTTCTGATTCAAGGAACTGCTGTTTTTCGATGGGAAGGTTACTATTGTGAAGGGTAGTATTAATTTCATGCTCCTGTGAGGAAAGAATGTCTAAATCGGGAACTATTAGAGCACTATGGTTGTTAGGGTTTCTTGTGATAGCAATGGTGAGAGTAGAATCATGGGGTATAATAAGGAGGGTATCAAAAGTCTCATCTTCTTTGAGAGTCTCCCCCTAAAGATGAGATGTTGTAAAATAAGGTTAGGTTTGAAAGAATGTGACATCCCGAGAGATAAACAAGCAACACAAAGTTGGTGGATAGCATTTGTAGCCTTTTTGTGTGGGAGAATAGCAAAAAAAAGACACATATATGGGCTCGATGATCAATTTTAGATTGACTTGGTTGATGATTATGGACAAAGGCTTTGCAACCAAAAATTTTGGTTCGAATGGTAAGAACTCATAATAGGGGAAAGGTCTTTATAGGGTATTTATAGGTGTTTGGAGGTTTAAAATTTGGATGGCATTCGTTTTATTAAGTAACATGAAATGAGGATTGTCTCTCCTATAAGTATTTTGAAATATTCATGGTAAACATTAGGGCTCAAGCAACGACTGGGTATGGGCTTAAAACATAGTTAAATTATTCTCCCATTATCAGTGCGGAGGGTATGTACGGTAGAGTTAAATTGAGTTCGAGTCATGGAATGAAAGCTTTGGAATATTTTATGTTGAACCACTTTTTATAATGTTTTGATATAACAATTTAAGGTTAAATGTTTTTTTTGACTTGAATTGAATTTATTCAAAGTTTTCAAAAATAATTCAAAGTCCATTAAAAGTGAATTTGAGCACAAAACTGTTTTTCAACGTGCATAGTACCAATAATGTTCTTACAGTATTGATACTATATGAACATTACCAATATTGTTCATGTGGTACCGATACCAAAAGTAAGAGAAGTATCGATACTCTCAAGGTTGTACTGATACTACCAGCTTCTCAAATTCCAGGATGCAAAATAGGTACTGATACCCAAATGGGTACCGATACTACTTTACATAGTAGTATCGATACCATGAAAGATAGTATTGATAACGTCAGGCCCAATGACTAGTAACGACTAGTTTTATTTAAATATTACAAAGGTAGTACCGATACTCCCTTTAGGAGTATCGATACCCTCTGTACTGGGAAGTTTTATTTTGCAGAGGAAACATCCCCAACGGCTCCAAATCACTCCCAACGACTAGGAACAACCACAAACACAATCCAACATATAAATACAAGTTCAAGACACTTGAAGAAGGATTAAGAACACCTATCCAAGCATTGATCAACAAGAGAAAAGCTCTTTCACTCTTTATTCTCTTTCTCTTGTAAATATTAGTGTTTTTGTGCTTAATATTTGTAAACGATTTCCTTTTTAGAGGTTTTATTTTTTTTTATATTTTTTCCTTGTAAAGGGGTTTTGGTTCTAGTTGAGCCTTTGAAAAGCTAGGGAGTTTTGTAAATGTTATCTCTTTGTCCTTGAAAAAATAAAGAACAAATTAGTGAATTTGTTGGAAAGTCCTTAGTAAGGAGCTAAGGTTGTGGATGTATACTTAGTTGAGAAGTTGAATCACTATAAATCACTGAGCAAAATTGTCTATCTTCTCTTAAATCTCCTTACTCCCTAAAATTCTCAAAAAGCCAATTCACCCCTCTTGGTAATATCTTTGGTTGTCCAAATTCAACATTCTTCAATCCCAACAATTGGTATCAGAGCTTAACTCTTTAGAATGTTTAACAACCTTGAGATGATCGTTGAAGAAGTTATACCAATTCCTGAAGTAACAGAGAAGATGACTTCCACCTCTGGCTCGTTCTACATGGAAGATTCCCAATTGATCAACAAGCCTCCACATTTCAATGGAGCAAACTACGTCATTGGAAGAAAGTAATGAAGTTATTTATCCAATCCATTGATCTTGATGCATGGGAGATGATTGAGAATGGATACTCTTCTCTAACAAAGAAGACGAAGAAGTGGGGTGACCAAGAGCGGAAGAAAGCTCAACAAAATGCCAAGGCTATGCAC